CACTCCCTGATGTCCACCAACCAAAGCTATGGAAGATGATAATCTTATTTTTTTCCCCTCTGCAAGGTTTTCATCAACCAGTACAAGTTCTGCTCTGGTCTTTCAACCAGTGTCACAGAACCTGGCTCTGTACTGCTTATCACCATGATCCAAGCAACAGCAAAATAGCCACTCAAACATACCCAGTGCTCAGTGCTGGGTAAAGTTCACAGCAGCTGTTTGAGACCCAGAAAGACATCTGAGAGAAGTGCCATAAATAACAACATCACATGGAGTCTCCCATTGCACAACCCACATACATCTTCCCTGCTCAGGAATTCACGCCTCGCACCCTTCACTGTCAGTCAAGAGCACATTACAAACCATGTTTCCAAGATGATCCAGAGGATATTTTGGAAAGAAATACAGCCCTCCTGTTGGCTGAGTCTTTTCAAAATACCTGTTCTACTCCATTATGAAAATGACAAATGTTGCTATTATCAAAACCATGGTCTTTCCCAGCTGTAGATCCACATGTGCATTTTATAGATCATGGATGTCCAAAACCAGCTCCAGCAAGTCTGACAGCCTGGCAGAAACTGAAGGGACTACTCCTTCACAGACTCGGGATCTAGGTTCTTCTTCAGATATGCAAATGTAAAGTATTTTCTCGGACTGCAGTTTCAGTAAACACCAAATTTGAACAGCCCCTTGTCAAGATTAATTCATTTTATTGCTAGATTAAAATTAAACCAAATTCTTTTAAAACACCTCATTTCTCAGCATCTGCAAGGAGAGAATCACTTTTCAAAGCAGTGCCTAGATGTAACTGAGAAAGAAGATATACAGCTATTTTATAAAAATGAGATTTTTTTTCCTGGAGTTTTGCCACAAATTGCCTTTGAGGGCTTGGTTCAGAAATTCCAAAGTTAGTTTATTGTTTTTCATATTGAGAACTAATTCCTTTTAGCAACTCTGTTAATCTTGGAATTTGAAGTTATTTTTATTAAAGTAACGCCCAGAGTTTAGATATTCCATAAAAAGATCAGGAATTATTTTTATTAAAGTAACACCCAAAGTTTAGACATGCCTTTCAAAAATAAGGCAAAGCACCTTCATTCTTAAAAAGGTTCTTAATCTTTTCAATGCAAAGACAGATTTCACAAAGACAGCTGAGCACTGCGAAGTTTTATCAGCCATTTTTTATCAGAAACTTGAGGAAAAAAATAATTAAGGCAGGATTTTTCTGCCTAAAAAAATCATGAGCATTTTGCTCCTAACAGTAGGTGTGTCTTTTTTTTTTCCCTCTCTTCTTGCCTTCTGTTACAGAAGAAGCAGCACCAGTTTCCACTCCCTGATATCAGATTTCTCATGAGACGTTTGCGCTGGCTCTGGGCTGGTCTGCCAGCAGTCAGTGCCTCTGGTCATCCTCTGTATCTCTCCCCAGCCAGCAGGGAGGCCCCTCCACTCAGGCAATGCCAGCTTCTGGTGGAGCTTGTCAGACTACAAAAAACTGGATCAGAGCCCTTAACTCTTATGCCACAACAGACACGGGGCTGCAAAGTGAAGGATCTTACCTCCATTCTCGTGGGCCTGAGGCACTGAAACCTTCTGCTCTTCAGCGGCACCTCTGTCTCAAGGACAAGACCGAGTGCTGCCTTTTGTTTGCGTGACTACGTTAATAAACAACACCCAGGTTCCTTACCATGACTAAAACACAGTTTAAGGGTTTGGAGGGGAAAGGGAACGCCTTTTGATCACTACCTCTGATCTGGAGCATAAGCAACCATGACTGAAGACTCCACTTTGTCAGCAAGCCTCCTCCAGTTGCTTTTCTCTTTAGGCATAGCAGGCCAAAGACATCATGGATTTAATAACACATTTTCTAACAGCGTGCTGCTTCCCTGTTGAAGAAGGCACGCAATGACAATTTTCAATTTCTTTTGTGCAGAAATTAGGGCTGGGACAAAATCTTTTCAATTCCTCCAAAAGAGATGTTAAGTTGCAACATCCCCACCTTTCTTCCTGCAGCGTGTATAATTTCAGCTTGCTCAATAGCATTGGCACTCCTGAGTTCAGGAGGACTTTAAAAGGAGCGATTAAAGCTCACGGAAGTAAGCTAACATGAATAAACTGCCCAGGCAACAGGGAAACATTCCAGAGCCCTGTGCTGTCACCAGGCTTTTGGCCAATGCTGCTTAATCATATATGCAAAACATAAATTACAGAAAGATTCATCACTGCTTAGAATATTCACAATTAATAATTGTGCATTGCACTGAAGAAGCTTCCCTGCAAACTGTCCTCAGACAAAAGCACTGGGATCTGCTCCCCATTCTCAGAGCTTCTACCAGCATCATCAGTACGAGTGGTACAGCAAAGGCTTCCTCTACGGGTCCTCTCAATGGGTCAGGCAGTTTTGGACGGGAAGTTTGAGAGCAAGTTTAGGATCGCTTGAGGATCACTCTGCTGAAATTCCTAAATCCTGTGGCTGGCTATAAGGCATCACGGCAGCTGCTGCAGGACACGTTCTCATCTGGGCTCGGCTTGCACATACCAGTTCACACTATCTGGGCATGTAACACTGGACTGAAACTCAAAATGCTCGTGGCACAGGGCAGGATATTTTCACTACAAGGCCCTCAGAGTTTACAATGTCTTCTTTAAACACAGACATACTCATAGCTTTAATATTTAAGACCCTCTTGAGCCTTGTCACAGAATTTATACAGCTCTATCAAAAAACCTTTGATCTTCTGCGCAGTGCTGAGTAAAAATCCTAGCCAGCCACATTTTGGGTTACAGGAGAGAGATGACTTTTCCACCACTTAACAGAAGATTATAGTTTTCACATAAGATTATAGAGGCATGGTTGTAATGCCATCTGAAGACTGCATTTACAAAGATCTGACATTCAGCAGCTCACATGGAAACAACAGAGCGGTCAGATTCTCAAAAACTTTGGAGTTATAATTGAGAGCAACTTGTGAATGACTTTCTGCAGTATCTTACAGAGGTAAAGTTTTAACTCTTAGAAAGCCTTCCCTCACATGCTTCATGTGATCAGACACCACTAAATCTACACATCATAATAGCTTTTTCAACATTATTAGGTAAGCTAGAAACAGTTCCCTCTGTACAGCATTCTCAAAAATAAATGTAACTGAAGATAACTTTGGCCCAGTTTTTGTTAGGTCATAAACTTTCCCCATCCAACACATCCAAAGTTCTGCATTAACTAAGTTCCATGAGAGTTTGAGAATTTGCTCCCGTGCATGCCTATAAGCCTGACTACTAAAAATGGATGCAAAAAAAAATAAAATTCTATTGTCTCTCTACCTTATCCGCCTTCTATTCTTTGCTTTAGAATAATGAATTAACAGGTAAAAACCAGTGCAGATATTTGAGGGAAAATTTCAAAAGCTGACTACACCTTCTGTCCTAACACATGCTGGTACTGTACAGCTGAAAACATAAACCCCCCTGCAGAAGAGGGTATAGTTTCACTGGGACAGAACTCCCGTGGCTGCACTTGCCAGGAAAACAAATCACGACCTCTCCTTCGCTCATGGCTCAAGCAGCATACTTCGAACACCCTAGCACATACAAAAGGCACGGGCCCTAGAATACCTTTTGCTTTTGCTGCTTCTCCTTACAAGCTTTTTGTTCTGGACAAGTAAATTTGAGATGCTCCTGCCACCGCCCTAGGTCCATGAATACAAACGAAGCCGCTCCAGATTTCTAAGCCCTTCACGGTGCTTTCAGCTGAGCTGAGAGGCAAACCGTGAAATGATTGTCTGCAGCCCGAAAGACGGCTGTGCTGGGTGAGCGGCAGGGCGCGGGCTCATTCTCCGCCACGCTGCTACAATGAAGCGAGCGGAGCCGCACCGGGCGGCAGCGGCGCCGGCGGAGATGCGCCATTGGAAAGGCTCCGTTCCCTGCCCGCCCGCCCGGGTGGGCAGGGCCGGTGGGAAGAAGGGAGGGCTCAGCTGCCCGGACAGCCACGAGCCCCCGTGCCGGGACGAGCCCCCGCTGCGGCGCCCGCGGCGCGAACCCGGGCACGGGACACGCGGGGAGCGCTGCCGCGGAGGACGGAGCGGAGCGCTCCCGCGGAGGACGGCCGTGTCGGCCCGGCGGCGGCACGAAGCCCTCCCGCGGGAATGGAACCGGACCCGGACACCCCTTCCCCGCCCCCGACCGTGCTTTCTCCTCGGGCGGCCCCTTCCCGCCTCGCCACGGCCCCCGGCGAGGTGCCCCATCCCCTCCCCTCGGCGCGGACGGGGCGCGGGGGGCGGCGGGGCTCGGGCGGCGCGGCCCCACTCACCGCCCGGCGGGCGCCTCCGGCCTCCGAGCAGCAGCGGCGGCGGCGGCAGCAGCAGCGGGAGCCGGCGCGTCCCGGAGACGGAAGCGCGGGAGGAAGTGAGGTCGGGCGAAGGGGAAACGGCGCCGTTTCCGGGAGGTGGAGGGGGATGCGGTCCGAGGGTTTCCCCGCGCCTGGGGAGCTCTGCCGGGCGTGGATCTCAATGCTCGTAAACCCCGCGAGTGACGGGGACGCGCTGCGGAGCGGGGTCATCACACGGGCAGAGCAGCGTGGGAAGGACTCGGCACAGGGCTCCGCGCCCTGCCCTCGGCCCCGCGGAGTGAGCCCGCTGGTTTCCGCGGTTCCTTACAGCGTGGAAGCTGTCACAGGGGGCCACCCTTCACCCAAAGGAGCCTTTCCATGGGGCAAACCCACGCAGCCTTCTGCTACTGTCAGTTCGGCCCAGGTCACGTTTCACAGTCCCTACAGACACTGAAGTACAGATCATTTCAATACAGTAACATTTGGTGCTCAAAGCCAAGTTTCTTAATATCCAAATGTAACCGCAGTGGTGCTCACCACTGCTCCAAGACTTAATAGATTTCAGTGCAGAATAGGTGAAAACCTCTGGACATCAACTCCCAGCACTGTGCTGGTTGTTCATCACTCGGCCAACTCGAGTTGTGTAACCTTAGGAATTACAGCATGATACGACTTCAAATAGTTTTCATGATTAGATGATTTTATTAAAAAGTAATTTCTGCAGAATCCTTTCAATTAACTGATTTTGAGATTTACCTAGAAAGAAAAAGTAACTGCAGTGTGAAGTCTCTCCTGGACAAGCTATGACCTGCTTATACCGATTTTTACAGACAGACCCATTCTTTACAGCAATTTGGCTAAATTGAGCTAACCACCTTTGCTATTAACATTAGAGTAGTGGCTTTAAGTGTCTTCTAGACATGCAGTTCACTGTGTACTTCTCAAAGTTTCGCCAGGAAAGGTTCACAGTATTGCATACACAACTCCCAGATAAACAGAGAGCAGAATTTTCTGCACTACCACCAGTGACACTCTGGGCTCTCAAAGCTTCACCTTCACCAGGCAGTAGGGCCACAGTGCCTTCATTCACACTTACTGACTGTATTCAGCAAATTCAACAACTCGTCATCAAGGAGCACAAGGCTTTCCAGGCAGACAGGTACTGCCTCGCTTTCTCCAGGGTGCTGTTGCCAGAGAAGGTAGGAGCTGATTTCCAAGGTGCTAGCAGAGAGAAATAATTTCAGACATTGCTAAGACTGCACTTCCCTACCCTCAGGTTCCTCTGAGCAGGTTTGCCCTGTGCTGGGTGCTTTCATGCTGAATGTTCCAGCGGGCACTTGCTTTACCTCACGAGGACTCAGAGAAAAGCTGCTAAGAACAAACTTTTAGGGACAGTCCCCTCTGTTTCCCCCTTGCCTTCAGCTGTGTGTCAATTAAAAAGCACTGAAAATAGCTCCACATTGACTCTTAAAATCAGCACTGGATATACGTCCTGAGTTCCTACAGAACTGTGGGCTTCATTCCACTGAGAGCTGTACGCTTTCAGTCTGTTTTGGTGGCTGCTGCTGCTGCTGTTCATACTTCCTTGCTGAAAAAAAGAAACACCAATCAACACCGATTATACAATTTATTTTATATTATTATTGCTATCATTATATTATTTATTACATACGTATATATATGTACACATACATGTTTATATATATTAATGTAACTATGACAACAATCAAGAAACAGATGAAGCATCAGAGAACTTAATTTCAGCCTCACAAGGGGAAGTTTCAGTCACCATCTAGAACTTCACCATTAGTGTATGGCCGTATATATGCTGAACAGCAGAGTCATAGCAAAATGTCAGTGAATCAATGGCAGAGAACTATTATTCCATTCAGGTCCTTTTATTAAAATAAGAATAATTAAGATTAAAGGTTACGCTTCAGAAGTTTTATTACCGATGACCTGAATGGCTCAACAGTCACAAGGCTGATGTCCACATTTCTCATCTCCTCCACAATATATAAGCCACAAGCTAACAATTACATTGACTTCAAAACTAATCTGGTTAGCAAGGGAAAGGGAGATCAAAGAGTTGTGTGCAGTGGTACAAACACCATCAGCAAATGCCAGCAGGCATTCCACTGTAGGAAGAACATCCAATTTTGTTCCTACAAAATGCAATGGCCTAGTGTAAGAATCCTTACATAAAGTCTTTGCATTTAAAAGTGGTTTCAGATCACTAAGGGTTTTTTTCTGTATTTCCTCTAGGCGTGCATGTGGGGCAGATGTGAAGCAAGGTTGTGTTTCTCTGAATTGGACCACTGGAATATCACAGACATGGGGCTCTTTCCTGCCTCCATCCTGACCCTCAGCATTGAGATTGGAGCAGCAACACTTGCTGGTACAGTAAAATTCTAATCTATTTTCAATTTATGTGGTTGTCTTATCGTGATTCCACACTCCTCTCAACTTTCACAAATCCGTCCACGTTTTCACAACATCCAGACCTTCCTAGCTCTTTCAACGCGTACCATGGGGTTCATTTTGGCACTTGCTTTAGGATAATTGCACGGCCGCTCCCTCGCTCCGCACTTCCTCCCGCAGCAGTCCTGCGGCCCCGCTCCTCAGGGGGTGCCACAGCACCGGGGGCGTTCCCGCCGCGCAAGGCGCCAGGCCGCCCCTTGAGGAACGGCCCCCAGCAGCCCGCAGAGCCGGGGGATCCCCGTTTCCCTCCGACTTACCGATGGAGTACATCTCCAGCTGCTGCCGCAGGCGGATCTTCTTCATGCTGTCGTAGAAGTTGGGCTCGGGCGGCGTCTCGGCGGCCGGGGGCAGGGTGAAGATGCGCATGATCCTCCTCTTGTTCCTGCGAGCGGAGGGGGCACGCCGGTGAGAGCGGTCGCCCCTCGGCGTGAGGGCCCCGCGGGAACCCCCGCCCCGCCCCGCCCCCCTCTCACCGCCGCGCGTAGACGAGCAGGGCGAGGCTGGCCAGCACCACCAGCAGGTACACGTTGGTGGCCTCGTTCCACGCCTCGTGCACCGAGTAGTCGATGGCGCCGCCGTCGCCCAGCGCCGCCGAGGCGCCGCCGCCGCCGCCCGCCCCTCCAGCCCCCGCCACCGCCGCCGCCATGGGGAGCGCGGCCGGCAGGGGCGGCCCCCGGCCCGGGAAGTGACGTCAGGGCGGTGCCGGACGCCATGGCGGGGGGGCTCCGAGGTGCGCCGGGAGTCGTAACTAGCGCTAAACCGTGCCGGGGAACATTAATGCCGCTGCCAGCCAGCGCCTGGGCTTGTGCAACTCTGAAATAAATCATAGAATCAGAATCAGTGCGGTTGGAAAAGAGCTCTGAGACCATCGAGTGCAGCCTGTGATCGAACACCACCTTGTCAACCGGACCGTGGCACCGGGTGCCACACCCAGCCTCTCCTTAAACACCTCGGGGAAGGGGACTCCACCACCCGTTCCGGTGGCAAATCACCCTTTCTGTGAAGAAAGTCCTCCTAATGTCCAACCTAAACCTATGCTGCGCAAGTCGGGGACTCCACCGCCCCCCTGGGCAGCCCGTTCCGGTGGCAAATCACCCTTTCTGTGAAGAAAGTCCTCCTAATGTCCAACCTAAACCTATGCTGCGCAAGTTAAGACCACGTCCTGTCACTTGTCATGGAGAAGAGGCCGAGCCTCGCCTGGTTACAAGCTCCTCTCAGGGAGCTGTAGAGAGAATGCGCAATGTCTCTTTCAGGTGTGTAATTCCTGGCTTGTTACACACTGGGTAGCAAATCCAATTTTTCTGGACTGTCCCTGAGGCCCTGGGGTGCCTTTCCCCACTTTTATTCTTTTCTTTCATCCCACATCTCCAGCTACCAGACCCTTGGGGAGAGGACGTGCAGAGGGCACCACTTCTCTCCCAGGGACACTGGAGATACAAAAAATCCTTTGGTTTTGCAGTGCCAGCGTCCAAGGGAAGGGCACAGCTGGGTGTGGGACCAGGAGAAGTCTGGATTCAGCAGCTCTAGGAGCCTGGCAGGCGAGGAGTCATCGGGCTGGGCTGGTGCTTGTGCAGCAGCAGTGGAATTATGTGGAATGCAGCTCTGCAGCGCGTGGTGTCAAAAAAAAATTAGGTTCAGATTGTCGTGAGCTCTCGCTTTTCACATAGGAACTAAATGTGACAGTTTAAATTTGTCAAAATTGAAAGAGCACTTTCTGAAAGACTTGGCGCCTTTTTTTTTCTTTTTTTGGTACCAAAATGGGAGTTGCTGGGTATTCAGCTGCTGGAATAACATAGCTTAATTGATGGTCCATATGCTGCTGTTGCCAAAAAGCACAATTCTAGGATTATGCTTTGGCAGAGCAAGTGTTTCAGCTCAGAACCTTGAAAAGTTTTCTGAACTGCTTACTGAGATATGGGTAAACTGAGCTGTTCTAACACTCACACGCACACAAACTTTTCCTCTAATGCCTGATGTGGAATATTTGAGCTACATGAGAGGTTAGGTGTGCTTTTCCCTAGGGCCTTCTGCTTCTTTCTGTCCACCTCTGCCCCTGATACTTCCTTTTACCATAGCTTCCTTCAGGTACTAGAACTGTTACAATTGATCAATGACATGGTCCATGTCCCTCTGCTCAGCAGGTATTTGGGGTATGTGCTTGTGTTATGGTTATCCATCTTCACCCTTTATAAGACAATAAAGGTGGAAAACCCCAAGTATTTTCAGGGTGTGATTTATCTAACCTGTGTCAAACATTCGGAATCATGCCTCCTGTGCCCGGGAGATGCTCTGATCCCTTACGGAGTGCAAGGAGTCTAGACAACTCATTTGGATGGCACTTGCTTTGCAGATGTCTAATCAGCCTGAGGAAACTCTATCCTTTGGGGAGCTGTGTTCTCACTGTGAGATGTTCCAAGTCTTTCTCTTTCCATGGTATGGAACAGATTCATTTTAAGAGGCCTTAGATCAGGACATAAAAGAATATGAGTGAAAATGACAATATAAAAAAATAATAAAAAAACCCCAACCTAAGGCACTGGTGTAATGAGAAAAGTTCCTTGCCCCACATGGTGTGGGAAAGAAGGATAGAATAACAATTATACATAATTCTAGGTCATTAAATTGGGATGGCACCCATGCACAGAACTGTGGAAACCACTAAGAGAGATTTTAAAAAAAAGTCACTTATGCAACACGACAAAAGACATTTAATTAAGCATGGTTTCAGAGGGATTTTAAGCAGTTTCTTGTGAAGTTGAGGCTTTTTGTTTGCTTTTTTATTATGTTGAACTTTCTTGCTAACAAGCCTGACAAGACAGCATCACACATCTTTGAAGAAAAGTGGGAAGAACAAATGTAAGTAACTTTGGTGCTCTTTATATTGCATTACTGTCTCTAGACCTCAGCTGAGATCAGGCTCCCTCAGATGGGGAGGAGAGAAGCTGTATTTAAGCTGTAACTAAAGATACTTTTTGTATTAACCCTGCAGCTCGCTCTGGACAAGCCAGGAAGGAACTGGGACTCTGCCTGCAGCCGCCCATGCAGAGGAAGCCAAGGCCTGCATCCACAAAGCATGAGCTCGGGTCCTGGCATTTTCTCTGCAGCCTCCAGCACACAGAAACAGATTGCCTCACTCAGCATTGCCCTGTTCATTTGATTTAAAGAAATGCTTGGTTTCAGACTTTGATTATCCACCTGCCCCCAACCTACAAGGCAGGCAGAGACAGATTTTCTACTTCCTCTGAATTCAGTAATGTGATTCAGTGGATAGGACACAATTAGACTGAGGAGCACAGCAGCTGGTGCTGCCCTGAGTGTGACAACCTTGCAAACCTGAGGAAAAGGGTGGCCTTCCCCCTGTTTGACTCTAGAAATAGGACTTCTGGGGGTGTAGGTCTTCTGCATGACTTCCTTGAAGAATCTGGCCCAAACAGCAAAGTTGGCTGACTCCTAGGCCTACAGGTTAGCTTGTCTGATACACAGTAATTTCCTTTTAGAGCTTGGGTTTTGTTTCAATCTTGGGTTCCTAAAGCAGGTTCAGAAGAACACAGTTGCAATTTTGTGTCAGAAATTGTGTTACCTGTCCATGTAGGTTAGGTAGCATATTTATTTGTGGCTTGGATGAGGTAGGATGGGATGACCAATACTTGTGCATGCTGTTCATCCATGAGGACAGTTGTTTTATATTTTCTTGTACAAAAGCTGCATGTGGGGAAAGGACTGTCATTTTGTGCTGTGCCTCTATAGCATCTGACCTATAGGATCCTGGCCCATGACCAAAGCCTGTAGGCACCAAACTAATAATATGTAATAATAATATATGGCACTGGCATAAGCTAAACATAGTTCATGGAGACCCAAGCTTAGTAGGCAAATAAGCTTGGGGGGTTTTAGTTTGAGTTAGACACAACAGCCCACTCTCCCTCCATACCAGGAATGAGCTCTTAGGGAGAAAAACACTTAAAAATCCCAACTTTCACAGAGACTTTGTTCATTCCACAAAGAAATCCAGAGTGTACTTGATAAAAGTACTCACTTCAGTCTCATAGATTTATCAAGAGAATTGCTGAAAAGGGTCTTCCAGCTCTACAGGGAAAGAATTCACTTTCCAAAAGTCATTAGCATCCAGCAACTACTAGAAATTTGACTGAGAGCTACTGAATGTTATCAGTTTTGAAAATCTGGTTACTGCATATCCAAATTGTGAATGCTGGAACAGTAAGCTTGGTCTTTTAAAAATTATGGCCAAAGAATGTGTATGTGTGTCTATATATTAGTACATATTTTTAATGCATTTTGAGTTACCCAGAGCTAAACAGAATCAAAAACTGCTGATACACAAATATCATTGTAATGTAAACATATTCACCATTTAATCCTGATAAATACTGGATTATAGACTTCTGAACAGAGACTGACAATTATTGGAAATCATGTGGTCATCTCAAGTATCTCAGTGCCTCAATTAAAATAAAACCACAAAATCCTTTTCCTTTTTTAAAAGTACCATGTAGCATATAATTTATTTGGTTGGACTCTACAAATATACACATTATATCACGCTAGAAGAACTTGAGAACCACTTTTTTCTTGTTCCCAGGGTCTCTTGACTGTTGGTAAGACGTTACAGTCATAATGATAGAATCGGTTTACAGTTGCATATTCTGCCAAATAGCTCACAAATTATATCTGGCAAACAACACTGCCTCTGTTTCACAAAGATAATGATCTGATGTTTTGTTTATGTGGAAAGGAAAATATTATTTTAGAGCTTGTGACAGAATTTCAAAAACTTTGTGCGGTGTTCTCAACATCTGATACATTTAAAAGTTACCACTCTATTAAATACAGAGTAACACAGATTTTTCAAAGGATCCTTCAAAAAGAAAAAAAAAAAAATCAAATGTTCAATTAAATACATTGTGTCCATTTTATTTCCTCCGTATTTACCCAGACCTACACAACAGCTGGTGCAGACATTCATGCACTACTTTTCACGTCTGATGGTGTCAAACATACAAACGAGTTGCCATGTAGGCTGCTCACCCCTAGAGGATTTAGTGTTATAGGAATGCTTTCAAGATGGATTCTGAAATCCATTTCACAGTGGGAAATGCTCCATCAAACTTGACCCCCCTGAAGCATGCAGCCAACAGCCAGTTTGGAAAGGAAAACAGCATAACCTTGACAGTGCTATTCTTTGGATGGCTCTGAGGAGAAAATGAAAGGAGCAGTGGGTTTGAACTGAATCTGGGACTCTGCTCTGAGAAAGAGACCTCTGAGGCGGTTTCCATTCTATAGCCTGCCCTGCAAACCTGCCAGGTAAAAACTAAACTTTAGAGGGAAATTCACTGGGAATTTGTTATGGCAACAGCATTGGGCCAAGGATAGAGTGCACCATACCAGTAGTGGGCCCTGACACAGCTGACACCTGCAGCCAGACTGTCAGCAGGCTCAGCTAGCATGCCCTCAGTGTCCTGCTCTCCTCCACTGCTAGCACAGCAGTGTCCCAGCAGAGTTCAGTCTGGGAGCCAGGTGCTATTTCTTCACTCTGGGAGAGGGCTTCTGCTTTGATTCTTTGTCTAGCAGCTGGGTGGATGGCAGTGGGTGAAATATGCTGTGGGACTGCTGCAGGGATGGCAGAGGAGGCATCGCCCAAAAGAGAAGGGTAAGGTGGTTACACTAACCTCAGCAAAAGGGTTGCCCTGACCCTTGGAAAGGGGCCAGACCCAGGGCCTTCATCTTGATAATGACAACAAACAAAAGCCCTGGAATGACTGGGATCATATCTGCCTACCTAGGGTGGTTTGGGGAACTCCTCTGAAGTTTTCTGAAGGAGATAAGCATCAGTCACTGTCCTTCTCCTTGTGTGACCTGCATCTTTGTGCAGTTTCTTTTACTGTTTTTTTTGGGATGGAAGAACAGTAATACAATAAGAAACATGGCAATGACCATCCCCAGAGAAGCATCTTTTTGTGGGAAAGGACAGAGAATGTGGGACACTTGATCTGAGCTTGAGATAAGAACCAGCAGCTGTTGTTGAGGTTAGGGCAGAACTGTGGCCATGGTCTTAGCAGGGGAGGTCATGGCCACTGGTCTAGAGCTGGATGGGGACTTGCAGGCTCCCAGCTGTGAACAGGCCTCTTCCTGCCCTTCATCTTTTGATGTTTTCCACTAGACAGACAAGAGCTGCTTGTACTGAGGCAGCAAAGTCCTTGAATGTTTATCAAAGGCTGTGACGGGTGGTAAAGACTGAAATGCCCAGAAAATAAGATTGGAAAAGGGGAGACTACTGCAGGTAGGGCTGTCCTGCCTCTTTTTCCCCTCTCTGTGATGCCTTGCCTTTTCCCCTTAAGGGAAAAGAAGCTGGAAATGTGGGAAGGACAGGATTCATGCAATCTTGAGACTGCAAGGAGCTAGCAGGGAAGAATAGAAAGATGCATAGTGTACAAATGTCTGATTTTACAGAAAGACTGGAAGGAGATGACACGCAAACTTGGTTTTGGTCTCACCAGGTTGAGATAGAAACGGACAGTGAAGTACACGAAGACCACAAGCAAGTTAAAGGGGCGGTGGCATGTGTGGTTAATAGGTCAGCCTCTGTATCTGTCTGTCTTGTTCCTTCAGACTCACTAAGGCAAACAAAATGAGATCTTTAAGGAGTTTATCTTTAAGGGAAGTTTGCCAGGAAAATACTGGCTGCAAGGCCAGATTCTGCCTATGTCTGGGCTTCAGAGGCAGCTGCTAATAACTAACTCTAAACTGACCTTCATGCTGCCATCTAGTGTTTCCTCACAGACAGAAACAACATCCCAAAAAAGAAACTGCAGCTCCATAATGTTGTATTCAGAACAAATCTGATTTATTCCTGCTGAAATACAACGCTGGACAACACAAAAGCTGAAGAAGAGGGAATGGGAAAGAGACATGGAGAGGCCACTGCTCCAGGTGAATATTTAGGGAGACACCTTTTCTTAAAAAAATTTATAACTATTTCATCCAGAAACAGGGAATCATCTCCATGGCAAGATAATTATTCCAAACCAGAATTTTCCCACATTTTTTTCCCTCTGTGAAATTATTGTGGCTGTTTGCAAGGTGCAACAGTACACAATAGGGCAAGAATCCCAGCAGAAGCTTGTCTTAACCAAGAGAGACCAGCACAAGATGCTTGTCAGGTTCTTGTCTGTCCTTGCTACACTCTTAAAAACCCTTCACGGAATGGTTATTTACTGCCATCAGATGATGATTTCCCTTTCAAGTGTACATGATGGCTAACAAAAGGTAACAAATTATCATGGGGAAACATGCAGATTTGACTCTTGGCCCTTTAAAGCCTTATCCCTGGCTTCAAGGAGCTGTAACAATAGGCTTTTCCAACTGCTGCACATCCTGTATTCAAACTGGAACTGTAGAACTCTCACCCTGATAATAACAAGTCAAGAGTTCATGGGCTGGATGATGCATTTAAAACAGAGCATTTCTTTTCCCCATGCTTCTTTTAGGTGTTTTGAGTCAAAGTCCAAAACAAACCCAAAGCATCCACAATCATTGCTCTCTTTTGAAGAACTTGATTTCTGAGCTTTGTCTCCTGACAATCTGTGTAGGAAACCTGCAAGGAAGGAATGGATAAGTGAAAAATAGCAAAAGTCTAATTTAAGAAAACAGACTGCCCTTGCGGAAAGGAAAGGTATAATCAGCAGCTTTTAAAGGGCTCCTGGTGGCATTGTATGATATCAGGAATGAATTTACTAATTTGCAGGAAATTTTTCCCATTTATAATAAAATTCTGATACCAGGATTTGAATGTTATACATTATGAAATGACTGCATGATCTCAATGCAGTCAGAACATGGCTGGTTTATGTGAAGAGGAATAGCAGCACAGAACAAGAAGCAAACAAGAACAGAACCAAACTCTTCAAAAAGGAGCAAAAAGGACAGTGTACTTCTCTGCTTACAAATCACCTCTCAGGTCACAACATGGAAGTTGTCTCTTAGATCTTTCAAAGATGTAGTCCACAGCTCAGAAAGTCCTCAGGTGGACAATGGTGGAGTCCATGTTTCTCATTCATATTATTCCTGTTTTTTCCCCAAGAGAACTACATCCTGGATCCCAGTCCCACCAGACACAGCCTATGGCTGGATTAAGGCATCATTGTTCTTCCTCCCTAGCTGTTGGTACCATGGCTGTTACATCCATGTAGGTTACCTTGAGCTTTTTCCTAACACACTAAACAAGGCTACTTTTTAGTGGCCTTCCTCTATGCTTAGTGGACTTTGAATTCAGGCCCAATAGAGTTGTATGCTCTGAATACAGGAATTTTCTTTTCCAAAGCTTATGTTTAATGCTCACTGCTGTGGAAGTCACATTCTATTTCAGTTCCTTGTTATCCTCCTTGCCATCAAATCATGAAGACACTAAGCCAGGATAAGTGAATGAAAAAAAAAGAGGCACGCATCAGCTCTCTTCCAAAGTGTTCAGCATTTCTGTGGATTACAGAGGAGCGAGAGAATCTCTAAAGAGCCCATCTGGGAATACCACAGACAAAGGCCAAGAAAACCAAGAAGGTGTGTCTGTAAGCAGACTCTTCAGAATCTGCATTATCTTCTTGCTTCCAAAGAGTGGCCACACACTTGCTGGGGTGAGGTACAGGGCCCACAGAGCAATGGCCATATGGCTCCAAAAACAACCTGTGTCCCAGCCAGCAGGGAGAGACTGCCCCTGCAGCTCTGGCACTGGGGCTCACCAAAACCTGAAGTGAAATGGGTTACTCCTTTCTGAGTGACCACTGCTTTTACTACGTGTAAAAGTAGGTGAGGGCTTTGTGGATACAACATAGGTCAAAGCCACAGCAATCAGCACAAAGCTTGTGGGGGGCATGCCATGGTCTCTGCTCTCCAGTCTCCACCAAGTTAAGGTATACCAATATTTTTAATCTGTTTTTCTCTATTTTTTAAGATATTTTTTGTGTAAATGTTGCAAAAGAAAATTGATAATTTCTTAAGGAACAAATTTCCCCTGCACCCACACAACTTCCTTTCTCCCCCTTCTCGTCTTCCAATGGTAGACTGAACACGCCAATGGAAAGCTTGCACAGCTCTTGGATTGGGGGGATTTTTTTTCTTTCAATCAAGAGGTACAAGTTCAGCTGTTCTTTTCTTCTCAGTTTTGGGGACAGAGATTTTTCCCCATCAGGCAAGCTACATAAATAGGAAGGACATCAACTTAAAACATCAGTACGTTGTTTGCCTCGTGATTCACTATAACATTTCTCTAGTACCAGGCATGGCTGCCTCCCGAATAAGCAGAGTTAAAACTTTCCTGTAGGTGTCTAAGACCTCTTGGGCAGAGGGACGTTCTGCCGGGTCCTTCTTCTTACACGCTGCATGGATGTCAAACAGATGCAGTCGTATAATGTCACTTCCTTCAACATGGCCCAAGAAAAAATTAGAGACATCTGGGATTTTCCAGATGTCTGTTTTCTCATCATAGGGAGGCATGAGGTCATCTTCAAATGGCACATCTTCTCCATAGGGCCAACGCTGCTCAGGAGCTACAAACTCACCCTGGAGCTCCCTGTGACCACACTTCACCAGCCTGCCAGCACTCCTGTTCACAAGAGGCAAAGCGTCCAAATCATTCACCAGAACGTGAAAGTCACTTGTCAGGAGATACTGGGAGAGCACCTTGTCCAGGTCGTTCGAGTCACACATCACTAAGGTGCCCAGGGGGCTGCTGTGCAGGTACCGAATGACACTTACGTAGTCTATAGCAAGCATCAGCCTGCGATGCCAGGTGTTCATGCCCTTGTACTTGGGAATGTGGAGAGTTTCATTCAGGCCTCTCAGTGAACCAAGAGGATGGTACTCGGTGAGGATTGTGAACTGCTGCTCACAGTAGCCCAGCAGCCGGACAACATGCTTGCTCTGAAGGGCTTTCAGCATCTTCAGTCCATGGAGAAAGTCCTCCTTCAGCTCTGAGTTTGTGAGCTGTGAAAGGACCACTTTCTTTTCCTTCCACTCAGAAAGGAAGACCTGAGAACACACAAGAAACACATAAGACACGTGGAGAGCCTTCTTCAATGAACGGCTACCAGCTGCTGCTGACCTCTTCCTGTGACTGGTTAGTCACAACTGCAAATTACAGTCACCAGGCACAGTCAGCTTTAGGTAGAGTGGTGTACCTGTCACAGCAAGCCCTTTCCGATGCCACAGTTCTATCATGATTTCCTAAGTTTTCTTTGGAATGGACATTAAGTTATTTTCTATCACCCAAATAGCCAGTCTTACTCTGCCAAGATTGTACCACTCTGTGATTTTGCTTGTGTAGCTGGATGTCGTTTGGTGTCAGAGAGCTGGCCCAGGTTATGCTCTCGTACCTGTTGTGTTCGCCTTATCAGTAGCCATTTGGTCCCGGATGCCTACAGTGCTGAGCTGCTGAGAGGGGAAACATAACAGCAGTGCTGGCATTAATGAGCCAGCAAACTGTGAAAGCTCTTTATCCAGAGGAGAGAAGAAAGAAAATCCAAACTCACCTTTTTCACAGCACCTTCACCAACACACTTGAGTTTCCTGACTTCCCTATTTATGGCCTCGCAGGAAAGCCACGGGGAACAGTTCTTCACCGTTCCGAATTTGAAATGCCCAAAAGGGCAGAGGCCAGAGTCCGTTTCGACTCGTCCCAGAGAGCTGGAAAACTTGTTGAGGTATAGGTAGAGAAGGGCATTAAGGAGCAGGACGGCCGCAAGCAGTAACGCCAGCGAGACGGATGGCACCTCTCTGGGAAGAAACTCCCTCCTAACGAAATGCGGTTTCTTTTCCATGGCCGTGCCTTCCGCATCCTCCGTGAAAGACGGAGGCTAAGCAGGACCCTCTTCCCAGCGCGGGGACGAACGCCTGTACAGCTTTTTCAGTGCCGGCTGCCCAGCCTCCCCGCAGGCACCGCGCTCCGGAGCCTGCAGCCTACGACGAGAGGCCACGCGTGGCAGCGGGACGTGTCAAAGGCGGCCGCAAGCTCGACGCTCGCCGCGCTGCGCATCCTGCCGCGGTTCCGCGCAGGCGGGCCCGAGCTGCGGGCGGCGCGGGCAGGGACGCCTGACCCCGGAAAACACCGGGAAGCGCGGCCGCGCGGGGCGGCGGCGGAGCGGCGGCGGTCGGGGCGGATGGACCAGGCGCTGCTGCTCGTCCGCAACGAGCTGCCCGCCCCGGGCCTGAACCTCGCCGCCCGCTCCGGCTCCTGCCACCAGGTGAGGGGCTGTGCCGGGCGGGGGACACCCCCCGGCCGCCGCTTCTGACAGCCCGGCTGCGGCGGGGCTGCTCGGCTTCTCCGGCGTCTCCCCGTGCTTCGTCAGGTCGCTTCGCTTCAGTTTTACCTTCGAGCAGCACGCAGGGAATTCCCGCAGCAGGAGATGCTCCAGCCCCGTGGCATCTTTCCTTGTCTTTGCCACCATGCAAGGCAGAACCCCCTTTCACTCTCCTTTGGCACTAATGAGCTCCCTTCACCTTCTTCTTCCACAGTGCTTGTATCAGTTCCTGGCGTTTGTCCCACCAAGCAACGAGAGCCTGAAAAAACCAGGCACGGCGTCGGTAATGGTTGATACGCAGCATCCACTCACCCTGCTGCTCAACAGCTCTGTGGGTGACAGAGACCTCTGCAAGTAGGTGGCCAAGCCCCAGGGAGTACATGGATAGCTCTATCCTGTATTTGTGTTTGTTTTGTTTGTTGTTGGTTTTTGGTTTTTTTTTTTGTTTTTCCCTTGGAGCCATGTGCCTCTTCACTGACTGCTCATCGCCTCCTTTCTCCCAGTGGTTTAGACCTAGAGCTCAGTCTTCACCCCACTGCTGTAACAGTGGTGTACTTTGGAATTGTGCTGAAATGATCCAGGTGCAAGCAGGAGCAAATACGGTGTTCATTGAGGCAGCATGTGCAAGCACCTGGTTTCTCTTGCAGGGAATCTAGTTCAGGAAGAAAAATGATGGCAGTGCATGTGTGGTAAAACATTGGTGCTGGGCTAGGGGAGGGTAATGCTTGGATGAGGCAAGTTCTGTGTTAGATCACAGTGTTGGTCCAAGTTTTTGGCTTGCCTTTCCTAAAGCATTCAGGCTGACAGCCCCCCTGAGTGCTGCAGTGGTACCTGCATGTACTGGGCGTGGCTCACCAAGTTCTGTTTCCTTTATCATTTGCAGGGTTCAGTATCATTTTGGAGAGTTTGGCAATTATTCCCTTGTGGTAAAGACCCTAAGTACAAGCACCCAAACTGTTTCTTGTGACCTAGTCATCAATGAAGGCCCTATCAACAGCTACCTCCGTATGTAGAACTCTCTTTTTCCCTTTCATTCTACAACCCACTTGTCTCCCAGCAGAACCAGCTTCCTGAGAAGCCTGTGCTGGCGAGTTGTCATGGGCTTGCTTCTCTTCTTTCTCGACATCCTTGCCTCTTTATGTCTTATACACCCGTCTTGAGGCCCTGACCAGGATCAGGCCTCTTCACATGATATCCTGTCTGCCCACAACATTTTTGCAGCAGGCATTAGTACAGAAAAATCAGTGGGTATGTGTCTGGAGGAAAATATTACTTCCTGTTTCCCTGCATGTTTTTCTATATACACAGAATCCTCCCTCTTCTTCCATCTATCTTCTCTTCACAAAATAGGAAACAACTACACAGTGTTTGTTTGGATTTTTTTTGTTGTTGCACTTTTAATTTAGAACCTGACCTTGGTTTTTGTTCATCTCTTATCCAGGACTGTTTCAAACTCTTGTCTATGTCTGTTCTTTTCCATTACATTATTCTTCAGTTCTTCCAGTTTCCTAACTGTAAAGAAAAATTCTCCATGCTTGCTAACTAGGTGTATTGCCCTTTCCCCTATCTTCTTCACGTTGAGGCTGTTTCTAAATCTCCTTCTTCAGAACATATCACAGCACATCAGCTCTTCTTTCACTAGTGTCTTGTGATGCAACGCGGCTTTATTTTGCTCTTTTTATGCCGAGATGTGGAGTCACTCAGCTGCACTTTGAAACTAACCTGCTTTTGTGTTGGGTAATTTGGGGGTTTTGCTGTGGGTTTTTATTTTCCTCTGGGATGTATATTGCATGGAGAAGGTGGGATGATGATAGGGGAGTTGGGCTTTGTGTCGTGTTTGTGTCACCCTTGGCCAAGCCCAGGTTGCTGAATGGTTTTGTTAGATCATTTATAGAGTTGTGTTCTTCTCTTTTCATGTAGCTATTCTCTTTGCTTTCCTGGTTTACATGGGGATCCTTGCTCTCCTGATTGCTGGGCGCCTTCTAATGAAGTAAGTGAACTTCCTCCTTGCATGTGCCAGTTTAAGACCACACATCTCAGTGTGGTAATACACTGGAGTCCCACTTGTAGCCCTGCTTGCAGATCAGATCCTGTTATCATGTGCCATGTGCACGTTGTGGCACATGTGGCAAGAAATGCAGAGTAATGCGATTTCACTGGAGGGATATCTTGCAGCCTTGGTAGTTTGTGTGCAGAGCAGCTGATGTTCACTGTAAGCTCACAAACACCCTGCTGCACCCTGATGTCCCTTGTTCCTTGTCTAGCTCTGGATCAGTAATCCAAGGCAGTGGGAACAAAGTGCACATAACAAATGCAACCTTCTACCCTTTACTGTAAGTTATCCTTGCCTGTAAGCAACCAAGAATAAAACCCCCAAACATGAGTTTGTGTCAGTGTATTTCCACAGCTGGACTAAACTGAGATCCTAGGTGCTGGCTGAATCTCAGTGTTACCTATGTGAGCTGTAAAAACAGAAATAGGAATTGTCAAAACTTCTGTTTTATTCTGCTAAATAGCTGCTATTAAGGTGAAATTAACTACAAAGTACTTTTGGCTTTGTTTTGTGTTTTAAACTGTTACTTATTTTCAGAATTGATCCAGTCAGAAACTGGGTTTACAAGAAACTGAATCCCAGAGCAACTGATCGTATGATTAACTCCGTGAGTGACCACAGTATCTTTAGTTTGCATTCTGTAATGTTTGCATCTCTGACAAACACACACTATTTGGACATCTGGGGACTTGTCTATTACTAATCATCTTCCCCTTGTGCGTGTTCCCCATAGCAAATCTTGTATTGATGTCAGGTAGACAATTTTATATCAATGGAGAGTGCAAGACTGGGTTTCCATGCAAGTGTAGTGGATTCCCTGTAAAGCTCTTGCAAGTTTTGAACATACAGCTTTGTGCCCTCTTTAATTCCTTGAAAAAAATGTCTTGGTGGAAATACTGTCCCCTTCTACCATAGTCAGTGTAAGGGAAATCACAGCCTTCATTGCTGCTTCCAGCACAGCAGGAATTTTAGCAAAAAAAAAAGTCAGAATTTCTCTGGCACCCCTAGAACCCACATTTCTGTGGGATCCTCATTTTGTAGTAGAATGTAGATAGTTCATCACAGTCTGGGCTTCATATCTAAGAGGTCCAAACCTGTCTGGAATTAAAAGACTTGTAAGCAGAGCTTTACAGCAATCTTGAAACAGTCTCTCTGTGGTATCAGACAAGTGCTGATGGGTTGGAGTGGGTCCTGTTTGAGAGTTAGTACCTGGATCTGCTCGGCTGTTTTGTAAACCAGTACTCAGAGTGTTGGCAGGTCTCTGGCTGTTTGGAGGGGACCCAGCTCTGATGAGTCTCAAGCACAGGCTCATTTCACTGCATTCTTCTTTCTGCCTGGTCAAAGGTAGAGTCTGGAGCATGTGCAAGCATTATTGCAATGTGGTGAAGCCAGGAAGAGGTTAGAAGTAGACAAAAGAAAGACAGGGAGCATAAAGACAGAGTGTGTGTTAAAGTTTGCAGTTTACTATCCTTTGTTCCCTAGTCAGCTGGTGCAGCTGCTGACTTGCTCTTCATGTCTGCTTTGTTCCCGAAGGAGCTCGGATCCCCGAACACAGCGGAGTCCATGAACTGTGATCCTGCCCCGCAGTCGTGGAGCACGGGCTCTCGGCAGCGCCTGCGTTCCCTTGACACCTTCCGAGGGTGAGCGTAAGAGCGTGCTCAAAAGCAGCTCTTCCAAGGGGAATGAGACTTTTCCAGGGGGGATTTGACAGTGCATGGCAATATGTAGCAGATGGACAGTTCAAGGTGGTCTGTTTCACTTGGAAGTTAATCAAGATTTTCATTCTCAGATTTTCCAAAATACTTTGTAATTGATCTAATTTGAGGAAATGTCAAAGTTGTGGCAGAGGGTGCAAAAGAGCAATGTGTTCAGTGTGGAAATGCTATGCAAAGGGGCTTGCTTTGGTTCACCACCAACCCATGATTTTTGAAACATGGTTTACTGGTTGGTAAAGCTGGAAACCTTGGAAATCTTGCTTTAAAAATAAAATAAATCAAATCTCAAGAGTTAGAAATGCATTTGTGGGAGTAGTAATCATTAACTTTGTGTTCATCAATATGCATTTCATTGACATGTGATACTTTGTGGTTTTGTTGTCATTTTAGGCTCTCTCTTGTAATTATGGTGTTTGTTAACTATGGAGGAGGAAAATACTGGTTCTTCAAACACGAGAGCTGGAATGGTAAAGTACAATTGAGACAGTTGCTCTGCGTTTTAACTGCAGCAGTATCCACAAATGGTTGGTGTTGCAGCTGCTGCAGCGAGCTGTTACTCAGCCAAAGGCTTGCATGCTGCTCTGGTTTGCCTCAGCAGGGAATCTGCCTGTTGGTTAAATGGGCAAAGCAGAGTATGGTCCTCCTCATCATGCAGTGACAGGATGGTTTCACATCACAGGCTGTGTGTAACGTTTCTTTGTGATACAGGGTCCTATCTTTAACTTTCCTGTGTTGCTTAATGACCACAGTCAAGCTGATGACAAATGTTCTCACTAAAAGAGTACATTACCAAAACAACTCTTGCACACTGAGATGACATATACTAACTGAAGATGATTTAGCAATGGGAAAAAGATCTAGATATTAGCAGTGCAATTCATATGAGTGAGACAGTTGCTCAGTGCTGTTAAAACATAATGCCTTGATTGGTAAGCTGATGGGGATGAAGTGAAGCATTGTAATGCCCTAGTGGAGAATAGCAAGGATCCCATCCCTGAAATCTTTCCCAAGGCACAGCAATCAGCTGTGACTCTAATCTTGAAGGGTGGCAAATGCAGTGAAGCAAGATGATTAGCTCTTTGTAGGTTTTGTTTATACCATGTTTTTGATTTTGAGACATAATAATTGCTAGCAGCCTGCAACTCCTCTAGAAAATCAGCAGTAATATTGTTAAATTTGAGGAGGGTTCAAGGTAAATAACACGCTCCTTTGCATTTCTCTGTAGGATTAACAGTGGCAGATCTGGTGTTTCCATGGTAAGTTTTCCTGAAGAATAGTTTTTGTATCGAGTGATTCTTTATATTAAACATTGCAAGTGGAACTTTGTGTGCACCTTACCTCCATGTGGAAATGTATTTGGATGGATGAATTTGTGTTAAACAGTTAATAGAATTCTGCCCCTACAAATAACAACATAACCCTTATGAACCAGTAGAAGAGCTAAGTGGTTTTGGTGCCCACATCCTCCTTCTTCCCACACACAAGGCCCAGGGCTACCCTACCAGTGGAAGTGCAGTATCCCTGAGAAGCTCAATGCCATGCCATTGTGTTAAAAGCTGCCAGTCTGGCAAGATTCGAAGCTGGACTGGTGTGTATCCATAGATAAAGGAGCCAAATAAATTTTGGATTAAGCTAATATTTGTATAACCAAAGAATGGTCTTTTGGGGAAGCAATTATCCCATCTGCCCCTAACATGCTTCTCTACACCAGCTGTGGTTTCTGTTGGAGTAAGGAGCTGGGCTCGGACTGTGAACCTAAGCTAGAGGAGAGGAGTGGGTCAGTTCTGAATTTGAATCATAGATTTGAAGCTGGTGTTTGACTTTTCTGAAGATGCTAATTTAATTTTGGGTAATGGAATTTTTTGGTAGCATATGAATTGCTGGAAAAAGAGCAGACTGCAATTAGAACCCTACCTCAATGGAACACTGAAAAAGGTAGAAGTGTCCCATACACTAGAGCTACAGCTCGGTAGTCTGGAAATTCAGAGGAAATAAAATCACCCAGTTTCACTCAGTGCATGCATCTCTGTTGGACCAATGCAGGCTGTTCTGCCAACTTTAGTGCTTGCTGTTACTCATACATGTTATGAGACATCTGTCAGCTCCATTTCCCATCTGCTCTGTTCTCCAGGTTTGTGTTCATCATGGGGACATCAATAGCATTGGCACTGGGCTCCATGCTGAGGTGGGGAAGTTCCAAGTGGAAGGTGCTTAGAAAAATCATCTGGAGGAGTTTTGTGCTAATCCTGCTGGGAATCATAGTTGTGAATCCCAATTACTGCCTTGGACCTTGTGAGTGGAACTTGCTCTCTTCCTTGCATTTCTGTAACTTGTTCCTGCCTCCTTGGCTGGGCTGTTGCAAAAACTTTGTCAACAGTTGGATGGTATCTTGTGGAGTGCTGTTCAGTTCTGCACTGATGCAATTCTCTCTGTTAGACTCTTGTGCCAAGCACTGTTGATTGTCTTAGTGACTTTCCCAGGACTTTGATGTACAGAAAATTGGGATGGCAGAGTGGAGGTGTCCCTTGTACCCGCAGGTGCAGTGGATCTGAGCTCTCCATGAAGAAGGATCACTTTTGTATTTACAACAGAGCCTGTGTCTCCTTCTCTTCCACATTGCTTGCATGTCTTCCAGTGTCCTGGGATAATCTGCGTATTCCAGGGGTGCTCCAGAGGCTGGGATTCACATACCTGGTGGTTGCTGCTCTTGAACTCCTGTTTACAAGAGCTGATAGTGGGACCTGGGTGAGTTGTGTGGGGAGATGACACGTGAACTGATAGTGGAGCAGGGTTTGGGAGCCTGTGCTCTTGTTTGGGCAAAAAGAACACATGAGAAACAAGAAGAAAACAAGTAACATCTTACTTGATGTGTAGTGCAGTGTGACCTGGCAGGGATCACTGTTGGGTATGTGCACCCTTCGGTGTCACAGTCTGCATTTTGTCACATCTAGCTTTACTATATTTGAGGATTTCAACAATCCATTCAGATAGTGCTTAAAAACAGGCACTCCAAGACACTTTTGATGACGTTTCCGCTGCCAAGGAAGCCCAGGGACAGGCATCTCTCGGCCGAATCCTGTAGTCTTGTGTTTTGTCCAGTTAGTTTTGGCAAGGATTTTCACTGCAGGGGAAAGTAATACTGGGTTTTGGCCTTTCTGGGGTCTGTTTTCCCAAAAGGCTTTTGTTCTACATATGAATCAAAATTCCTTTTGACATTTTCCAAGTTAAAAACCATTAAGGGCCTTTGTTTTGGTTTGTTTCTCCCCCCTGCCCAAGTAACTGTCTGGAAATTGCTTGTGAAAATGAAAGGCCTGTTGGTAGAACCCAGTTTTGTAATGACATCTCCCTCTTGTACCTGGGGTACAAGACTGCCTGCCAGGCAGTACAGGTTGTCCCCAAGGGCATGGTTTTAACTTACCAGCTAACACCCCCTCCCTCCATCTCATGCAGGAAGGACGATTCCCCGCTCTGCAGGATATTCTCCCCTACTGGCCACAGTGGATTTTTATTCTGGTGTTAGAAACAATTTGGCTCTGCCTGACCTTCTTGTTACCAGTGCCAGATTGTCCCAGGTAAGACCGTGCACTCAGACAACTTAATGTGGGGTATCAGGTTGGTTCTCTTCTACTGAGTAGAAGGTACATTTTATAGCCACAGGGAAAGAATGAAGGGAAGAGCTTTCAGGCCAGCAGTGTTAAAAGAAGCATCCATCATGTGAAAAAACATTCTTTACTTTGGTACTAAAGTACCAGGTGTTATACAGGTGATGTCACTCTTCCTATTTAAAGAAGAGGATTAAAATCTCCCTGAGGTCTGTGTGCAGCCATATATGATCACTGCATTGCCATCAATGTGTGCCTCTAGCCTGGGAAAACATTCAGTGTGCTGGGTCAGTGGGCCAGTGGCTGTGCAGCTGGACTGTAACAACATTTTGTGCTACAACCTCTCTGCCTCTGTCCTAGGGGCTACCTTGGTCCTGGGGGCATTGGGGACTTTGGAAAGTATCCCAACTGCACTGGAGGAGCAGCTGGTTACATTGACCGTTTGCTTCTTGGAGAAAAGCATATGTATCAGCATCCCTCCTCAGGTGTAAGTAGTTTTTGGTTTGCAGTATGTGAGGAGTGGCTTGGGAGTGATACGTGCAGGGGGATTTAAAAGAAAGGAGTTTGGTTGCTTGGGTGCTCTGTAACAGCCTTTTTCTCTCTAAGGTAATTTACCAATCAACGATGCCATATGATCCTGAAGGGATCCTGGGGACCATAAATAGCATTGTTATGGCATTTTTGGGACTGCAGGTACCTCGTTTTCTTTCTGGCTGCATGCTATAATGGGAAGATTTGAAGGGAACTTGGAAGTGGGGAGGCAACTGGGTTTCTTTACTTAAGGCTGAGACTGGTTCTAACACAACCTTTTTCAGAGCAATGCTTTCATGATGACTTAGCTGGAGGTGAGTGCCAGAGAAGTGGAAGCTAACATGGCAGTAGCTTGCATTAGATACACTGAGACTTCTTCTCAGTTTTTTTAAGGGACGGACACAAGAAGCTTGCAAAATAGCCACCTGGTGTTTCAAGGTTGGGCTTATGCTGGGAGTAGGCTGGCTCAATATGTTGGAAAATAAGGCTGAGACACACAAACTTCACAGCTTCATTGTAAGGGTTTCAAAAGTTGCAGGTGTACTTGCTGATTTTCTGCTTGTCTTGCAGTGATAACCATCTTGCATGGGTGCTGTGTGCTCACCTTCCTTGACAAGAGAGATGCAGGGCTTCACACTGGTGTTACCAACACCAAAAGCTCACAGCTGTTTAAAGTGCTGCACGTTTTTGATGCAGTTTTGATGCACTGCTGGCTTTTCTGATGGTGCAGCAGCTGTGACCCAAACTGGAACTCTTGTGCTGGGAAAGGAATGTTACCACATGTAGCACAGGGTAAAAATTGATTGGGAGTATCTGTGAGGCAGAGCTTGGAACAGAAGTGTGACACCGAGGAGTGAATTATCAGGACACGTTCCTTAGTGGTGTATGAAAGGAAGCATGTGCTCTGGGCAGGACAGGGATGCTGTGGAGAAGCTCTTGGGGTTGGCTCTGGTGTTGTTCCTTAACGAGGGAGAGGGAGCTCAGCTTATGTTGAGTTGACCTAATAAAGATGCTTATCCCCTTCCTCAGTTAACATAGTAAGAAAGGGAGAAAAAGTGCACCTCTGCTGCTGATTGGGTTGCATTTACATATTTTCCCCTTGTGTGTCCATTCTTTACAAAGAGTCCTCATTTTGAGCCTTTCAGCCACTTGGCTGATAGAAGTCCCATTCGTGGTCTCTGTCTTAGCACAGGTGGCAAATAAATCTGGCTCTTGAAATGTGGTTACATTAATGGGCATTAATTATTTTTTTGTAATTTTTTTATAAGGCAGGAAAAATTACTTTGTTCTACAAAGATCAGCCCAAACAAATTATGAGTCGGTTCATCATATGGGGCATAGTACTGGTAAGTCTGATACTTAGGTAGCTCTTTCAAAGACATGTATTTTAATGCAATGCAAATATTTCTGAAATGCTGCAGTGGTTATATAAACTTTACTGACTTTCTATTTCAGGGAGTTATTTCTGCTATCTTGACAAAATGTTCTAAGGAAGAAGGGTTTATTCCCATAAACAAGAACTTATGGTAAGCAAAGAGATGGAACATTTCGTATGATTTTAGCTCAGAGAATATTTTACCTTTTCTACACTGAGATCTGTATCACATAGATCTCTAAATATTTTTCTTCCTACTGAAAATGTTTGTAGGTCAATATCATATGTGACAACCATGAGCTGCTTTGCCTTCATCCTCTTATTCCTGATATATTACCTTGTGGATGTCAAGAAATGGTGGTCAGGTGCTCCATTTTTATACCCAGGTCAGTAAAACACATCAGGAGACAGATTCCTTATGGTTCTTTCTGCACTGACACTATCCTTTTGTTTTCTTCGCTTCCATTGTCTGTAAGAAAGTAGGGATTTAGACTGAGGTAACCTGAAGGATTCCAGAATGATTAAGTTGAGTGGAACCTTTGCATAGAACTGGGACACTTGAGACCAGATATTTAGGAGAGAGGGACAATAAATTCTTTAAATGAGGGCTAAAAGCTGCTACTGCCTAATGACTGTTCTGAGTTTGGTATCAAGTCAAGGTCCCAGTGAGCAGCTGTCTAGTACCAAGCAAAATACCACAGCTGTTCAAAGCTGGTTTTGGAAGGGACTGCTGAGACTTGTGTAACCTAATGGGTGGGGAAACTCAAAGGCCTGTCAACAGAGTAATACCACTTCTGAAGATGTGGAAGACTAAATCCCCTGGGCAGCTGTGTAGGTTGTGTCTCTGTGATTTTAGATAAGCGTGTTTCCCAAAGTATCCCACTGTGGTTTTAACCACATTGAGCACACGACAAACATCAGTGGAGAATGCAAAGCCACAGCAGAGGGGACCTTTCAGCAGCTTTGGTCCCTGTTGTCTGGGTAGGAAAATAGGCAGGGTGACAGCAGGATATCATACCTCCTACCAGAAACCCCAGAGCTTTGAAGGGCAGTCAGCATTTGTTTGTCAAGGCAGCAGATCTGACCAGATTGGTTGGCATTCATCCACCCTGAAAACAGTAACTGTTATTATTCACCTTATTAATATAATTGCAGCATACTGATGTGGTTGTGTTTTCAATTTAGCACAGAGGTTATTTGCATTTCTTTTAACAAATGTTTTGGGGGAGAGAACCCCTGACACTGTATTTGAAAACACTGTGTAGCATCTTTGGGGCAAATGATGTTAGCTGTTGTTGTCTTGGTGCCACTCTCTTTTATAAGCCTGGCACACCTCTGCCTGCTTGCTCTGAAGCAAGCCCATACCTGCTCTTTCAGATGGTATAACCTGTGCTTCCTTTCAGGAATGAACTCAATCCTGGTATACATTGGACACCAAGTGTTTGCAAACTACTTCCCTTTTAAGTGGAAGATGCAAGATAGTCAATCCCATGCAGAGCATCTGACTCAAAACCTCATTGCAACAACTCTTTGGGTCATAATATCATATATACTTTACAGGAAAAGGATATTCTGGAAAATCTGATACAGGTGGTCAAGGTCTAGCAGGCCTAGATTCTGATGAGGCAAGTGGATTAGCCTGAAATATGGTGGATTAGCCTGAAATATTGCCACTCAGGCTGTATTACTAAAAAGGGATACTAGTTCAAGTTTACAGTGCCATGGAAGTCATCATCAAGACTTTTATGTGACTTAAGGGACAGTATTTTCCTATTTAACAAAAACTTACTAGTCCATTACAGCTGTCTGTTTTCCATCTTTTGTAAATATTTTACTGATTTCCCTCTTTTCGTATACCCTAACACTTGGGCAGTCTAAGACACCCTGATGGTGTTTTTGAAAGGAACTGCAAGGGATGGGGGTGGTGACTGCAAGGGGTTGCCAGAAAGGGCCTGTGCTAACAGTCCCTGCATGTGACACAGAACCCCCTAACTCAGGTGCTCTGGGGTTTGTATGTATCCTTGGCACCTCTTGCATGCCTGTCCCCTCTGGCTACTGGCACTCACTTAACTTGGCGAGTGGCTACCTGGGAAAGCTTGGGGGCACCTCTGTGTCACAGCCTGATGGTGCTCTCAGCTGATAATGCTTCATTGTATTTTTCCCATTTATTCGGCCAAATCCTTAGGTTTAGGATCCTGCTGAAGCCTAAAATCTCTTCTATTGGCTTATTAATCAGCAGGCTGCTCCTACAAGTTTAGCAGCCCATCTGTGCATGTTCTGGGCCTTTGTGTAACACACCTCTTGCATGGATGAGGTGCAGGTTTCATGTGCTACACTCCAGGAGTGCAGAAAGACCATTTCCTACTGACTTTGCATAATCACTTGGATATTACCAAATTTCAATCAAAACAATCCTCTTTCTACATGAATTTACTTAAGGACCGTGAATCTGAAAACCAGCAATACAGGTAGAATTCTACTGACAAGGAAGACCTAACAGATCAATTCAATGTAAGATACAGTTTTGGAAATTCAGGAAATTCACCCATGCTGTGATTTCCAAACTAGTGCTAATAAAAAACCTGAAATACCTTGCTATGTTCTCTGTATATGTGCAAAGATAGAAAGAATTATGACACCCACCTTAGTGTAATGCTAAAAAAAAAACCCAAACCCCAAACCAAATAGGATATTACAAAGACTTCTTAAACAATATTTTATTTATAAAGTTTGATCTACTCACATAAGAAATCAAGCAGTGCGGAACCTGTAACTTACAGGAAACTTCTTGACCCTCTGAACAAGAGATTTTCCACTGCTATGCTGCTTTGTTCATACAAAGAGCCTTTCCCCCTCTCCATAAAAGATACTGCACCAGGATCCAGTCCATTCAAGCAAGAGTCTGCAGCAGCAGTATTTTCTCATTAATGCAGAACCTATGCAAGACCACCATGAGATTTTCCCCGCAGCGCGAGACCTGGCGCTCCATGGCCAGGCGGAAGTCTTCCTTCACTCCTTTGGTTATACCCCGGGTAACTGTGTGGTGCCTTAAGCCGTGAAGGAAAGAGAGACAGACAAAATCAAATCATGGTTGTCTAGTGAAATACAGTCATTTATAAAAGGTACCGTGTGTCACTGGACTATTTACGGTCCATATCTGAGTTTATTTAATGAGTCAAAGAGCCTGTGCTATGCTGTTTTTTAAAATTTTTTAAAAAATATTTAGTAGGTTACAAGTCTTCCAACAGTAAGAAGTTGCAAAAAAATCTTATGTTCTCACTGCTTTGACTATGACTGCTGAAGGGGGAAATAATGTCAATCTTCTGGATAATAGGAAAATCTATTCTCTTAACCCAGCAAGTAGAGAGTTCTCCTTGCTTGGGGAAAGGAATTTCTTTTTCCTCTCTACCTTTGCTGCCCAGGCCACTTCTTCCCCATAATCACCTCTATAAATGGTTGGGGTTGAAAGAAGAGTGAAAAGATGAACTTGCTTTCTCTGGAGCCACCATAAAGAGCAGAGGGCATCTTCTACCAATATGAAAGTGCAGGAAGGAGCTTTATAACCCTGTGGGCACTGATAATGCTGTGATTAGTGAAGGGCACAGTGAGCATTTCACAAAACCCAAGTCAAGCCAGGCTGCATCAGTAGAAGCCAGCTTTTATGAAGATACTAGACACCAGGCAAGGGGTTACATTTGTTCTGAGCACAAGTTCAGGACTTATTTTCAAACAGAATAAAGGTCCAGCTACTGAGCAAGCTAAAGAAGTGCTGGCTGGGGAAACTTAAGGGATACTGTCCTGTTAAAGGCCATTTTTATGAACAGTTCTTTGTCCTCATGCTGGTCTCAACACCTAAATCTTGTCATTAAAACAATGTTCTGCAGCACCAAAGCACTTTACTTGCACTGGTCCAGAACTGGGTAAGTGAGATCAAGACTTTGTAGCATCTACCTGCAAGCCCTACTTGGGAAGGGGAGAAAAAGGCATGCCCTGAAATGAGAACCTTAACACTACTGAAGGAGCCAGCATAAATTAATTTAGAGAGAAAAACAATGCTAATGCTGAGATGAGTCCTGAGTCATCGGTAAGAAGGGAAGAGCTGGTCTGAACCCAGCAAGCCTACTGAAAGACAAAGTAAATAAAAAATAAAGGGTAGGGGCATCTGTGCCCATCCAGAGATGCTGGGAACAAGGAAGGGAAACATTTCAGAATTACCCTCACCAACAACACCACACAACTTTCATGCAAATAAAGAAGTCTGGCATTTGAGAAGAGACTTCTCTGCCAAAACAGTAGAGACCTTTGCAACACATGGAAAAGGCAAAGCCTACTGGGCAATTCCTTGGTGAGCTATGCTAAGTGAAGCAAACCTACACTGAAAACACTCCAGTATATTCAGAGGCTATGGGATAAGTCCTGTTTTCAGTCTTTATTGTCTTAAACATTGCTGCCAGCTGAGTGCTATGGTCAGTTATAGCCTGAAGGAGAACACGCAACCTACAGCTACTGAGTGAGCCAGCAGCACGTTGGAAGATGAGAGTTGTATTACAGCTGGAAAACACAAAACACAATTCAGAACAACCTAAATGAAGAAAAGTTGCTACAAATGGATCCAGGAACCAGTATCTTGAAAATAAAGGGTTATGCTCTTGCTAATGTATGATGGAACATCAGTAAAACTTTTGAGGATTTCTACATTATTGTTTAAATTAAATCGTGATTACTAAATTGAAAGGACACAGATACTGGCAACTTATGGGAAAAAGAAAAATAAATGTTATTATAGAACAACATGGTTTGCCAGGCAATGTAGGCACAAATGAAGAAATAAAAAAAAAAAAAAGATAAATATTGAGTAACAAATTGCTGAAAACCATGGGCAGTAAAACATGTTGACAAAACACAGCACACTATGAGCAGGGTTTTTCCACTTGGTACCTGTCAGCAGTCTGTATGCTGGGATGTAGCACAGGTATGAATTCCTGCTGCAGTAACCCCATGGGAGGGCTAGAGGTCCTTTAAAAAACAGCAAATAGCAGCATTCAAACACCCACACACCAATTCCCCCTCTGGTGCAAAACAACTCTCCAAAAAAGGAGTAACAGAAAACTAGGGTGAGCTCACACAGCAGTATGACCACCGAGCAGCCAAAGGGGTGCAGGACTGTTCAGCATCAAACATGCAAATATCCCCAGATTTCACTGCAAGGCTGTTCTACAGCTGTGGTCCAAATATACACACATATTTTTGGACAGTTACACCAGGAGAAAGGACAGCAGCAGGTGCAAAACCAATACACAGTTGTACTACAATGAACTGTCACAGCTCTTCCAAGGAAGCATGTCAGTCAGAAAAGATTTAATCAGAGGAGTACTGCAGATACCACAGCTTGCCTCCAGTACTGGCAAGAGCATGTCAGCAAACTGGGAGAGCCCACAGCTTGGAGCCAAGGGACTGGCTGCTGAGCCCAAGCCGAGTGCATGCACAGCGGGTATCGGCCAGGTTCAGTACATGGCGGTATTTGGTAAAGGTTGCCCAAGTATCTTTTCATTAGCCCACAGATGGACTTTCCCACCTTTACAAATTTTAACTGCATATAAAAACAGCTCTTAGAGCATGGTACAATGCCAGAGCACAAATGCCCACTTGGAGCAACCTCCTATTTATAACCAGGGCCACAGAAACTAACCAGCAAAAGCTGTCTCAGCTGAAAGACAGTTTGTCTTTTCTAGGAAATTAAATTTTTATCTCTGTGTGCTATCTAGAACAAGATAATAACCTAACAGGTTCAGTCTAGAGCAATACCCCACTTAAGGAGAAGAGAAAGGAGAAATTTGGTATATAGTAGAGAGGTTTAGCTTCTTCACCTAAGTCTCTTATGTCACCTGAATCTTGATAGGCACCTCAGTAGTGAGTGCATCATTCACCCCTGGAGACACTATGAAGGGAGCAGAGAAGCAAAACTCACACTTAGATTCCTGTAATTCTGAGTTAGGTGCCCGCCTTCAGATCTCACAGGTGGGCATTTGGGTTTATTGATCTACATCTACAGTTTATTGATAGATACAGAGCTTATAAAAGTCAAATAAAGATGGACATTTAACACTCTAATACAGCTACAATAACCTGAAATAAAACAGCCACAAAAATTATTCCATCTAATGAGATAATTTTTCAAGAGTTCTTGGCAGGAATAAGTCCAGTACTTGCAAAAATGGACATGGGAAACAGAAAATACAAAGGACCAGCAAGATGTTATTGATCCCAGAGGGGCAGATGTTTGCAAAAGGAATTCTGTACAACTGTGTCTTCACTACTGTTTGCAAGATCTGCAGTCAGAACTAAGCATACCCATGCACACAGAGTAAAAACTACACTTTCAAGATACTTTGTTTCACTTCAAAGCAACCTTCTCTGTCCCCAAGGAGAGATGTGATGGGAGTATGAGTAAAAGAAGGACACAGCTTTCCAATCAAGTTTATGCCATTTGGTAGGCTATGATTAGATTAACTAGAGAAAGACTTATCAAAAAGATGAGCAAGATATTAAGCAGCAATTTGCTGCATATTGCTCTTTTCCTCTTTAGCCTCACCAGCTAACACTGCCTCTACTGACATGAGTATCAGATAAACTGTGAAACTTGGCTTTTCTAGAAGGGAATTCAAAAGCACTTAATGGTGCTGGATTCAAAGCTCATAAAACAAATCTTGTTAACACCACAAACAGAATGAGCTGGCTATATCACCAGTTAAAACCAAAACCATGGACCTTCTCATTCCCACAGTGGATGCAAGCAAAGGGAAATATTTTGCAGAACCTAATTATAAGTCTGCAGACTACCAAGATGTTACTTCATCTTTTTTAAAAGCACACTGCAGTTTGCTTTACTGACTTCAGAAAAATGAATATAATTTCCTATGAAGTATTAAGTACTTAGAAAAAAGTACTGGAAGAAGAATGAGGAATTCACCTGGGGAAAAAATGTCCTGCAAGTCATCAAACAAAAAGCAGTCCTTATAGAAGACATATAATATCTGCAATACATTTCCCATCCATTAAGATGCAGGATTACTACATTTATGCTGAGAAAAGATCAGACAAAGGAATAACTGCTTTATCTTTGGCCTGTTGTGTTGAACTCAGAGTCTTTCTGAGCATGAATGAACAGCATCTGAGCTGTCCCTGCTAATTCATGGGAGGATGGTGCAGCAGCTCATCCAGCCAGAACTGGTGATAGTTTTGAAAGATGTAAGCAGTCTGCAGATACCAAGCTCACTGTCCCAGGAAACAGCGCTACATTAGCACACTTTTATCAAAAACCCCAGCTGGGGGAGGCTGTGAGCTAACCAGGTCAACACTGGTGGGTGACACCAGCCCTGGGCCTCACAGCCAGTCCAGCTAAAAACCACCTGTGGTACCAGGGGAGTAGACATCATCTCCGACCAGTGGCTTACGCCCTCAACTATCCCTCCATCAGCTCTCTGGTGAAGTGCTTCCAGCCCTCCACAGCCACAGGAAAGACACTGTACACAGCTTTTCCAGCTGGACAGGATATTTGACTGTTCTGGCTCAGTGAGAACAAAGAAATGGA